AAAATAGTAAATTTTTTTTTTTTTTTTTTTTTTTTTTTTTTTTAACGTATCATCGAAGATTGCAACTGCAAACACTTGAACAACTCAAATTCGTCAAATCCCCCTCTCCCGCCCTTCGCTTACGATATCGATAAGAAATTTAAAAAAAAAGGGGGGAAAAGGTCATTTTCAACGATGTATTTTGGAATTCCTTCCGCGATAAACAATCATAAATACGCTCGCGTAACAGCGTAACAACGTAACGGCCCGTTACAGCATCAATCAGGGCCTCAATTAGTTAATTAATATGTCATCGTTTATTCACGACATTCTATTCTCCGATTTCGACCGACGACGATTCTCTAGCAAATACTCGCGCCGCATTCGCTCGCATCTCAATGCGCGAATAAAATCTTTTCCAATTGCCAACCGAGTGCTGCAGGCGCCGATAGACATCTCGTTACCTAGAATAATTGGACATATATATACCCTTTGGAGATTCGCCGTCCGCGACGATAAAGCACAATCTCGCCACGCGCAATAACAACATTGTGATGTGGAAGAGGTAAATGGCGTCGGCGGGTAAGTGCGCATCATCTTCACGGGGATGGATAACGGGGAGACACGTTGAGACAGAGCCGACACAGAGCCGACACAGATCCGACACAGAAAAGCTTTTAAAAGTAGATACAAGTATAAGCAGCAATTGCAAGTGTAAGCGAGAGCGAGTGATGGTGCCCTTAAAAGATAAGGGAGTATGAGATAGGATGAGATATCGAGGTGGTCGTGGTAGTGGTAGTCGTAGTGGCAGTGGTAGATGTGATGTAGTCGTCGTCGCCTCCACCCAGCCCCACCCCACACCCTTTCTACATGTCGTCTGTAGCGTGCGAACAAACGGCCGGAGGTTGTAGAAAAGCCCCGCTTTCCCACGTGCGCACGAGGAAGTGGCTTCGACTCGCTCGCGCAGTTCGCAAACAATTAGGCGGCTTAATTGAACGTGCGACTGGCCTCGGCGCCGCGTTACACTCCCCCCCCCCCTCAATCCCCACCACCTCTTATCCTATCCAGTCGCGCGCAATTCAATTAATAAACCGGCTTAATTCGCGCTTCCGGCCACCCAGTTGCCGGCGCGCCTGCTCGCCAGCCAGGGACGCATCATCTTCGCAGTCAGCCCTCGTGTTCTACTCGGTTAATATTGGCGCGTCGCGGCGCCTGGGAGAGAAGGGACGCGAGGACGATGCAGCCGATGGCGCCCGGGGTCAAGGGAAAACTATCCTCTGCGTCCCCGTCCTTCGCGTCTACGTGTTCTTCATGGGGGCGGTGACCCCGCGTAAGGCAGTCATACGCGAGAGAATAACCCACCGACCTCTCTGGAGCACTCTAGGGGCCGACCGATAACTTCCTTGGGTGGGCCCCGCTGGACTCGTGATTTTCTCGCGGTTCTTGCTTTGCTCATCTTCTCCGTCTCCCATCCTCAGCAATCCCAACTCCGTAATTAGGCAAACGAAGTTTCCGAGCGCTCGAAAGATGAAGGAGTAGTAGTAGTAGTAGTAGTAGTAGTAGTAGTAGTAGTAGTAGTAGGTAGTAGGTAGTAGTAAGAGGAAGCGTGCGTGCTCGGTGATACACAACATCACATGCGACGTTTATTGCATCCTACAGGCCGCCTTCTCTGTCCTCCTAATCGACTGGAATTGTAAAAAAAAAGCCCAACCGACGGATGGCCGGCGGGTTGGTGGTGCGGGATGGGTACTGGGAGTCGTGCGCGGGACCGACATTCCCGCGCAGGTCAAGAGAGGAGCAGCGGCGGAATTCTTCTACCTGGCAACGTGACTTAGTAACATTATAGGCGCTCGCGGTTGGGTGAAAGCGCTGTGGGCCAAGAGGGGGCGGCATTGGAAAGAAGCGTGCACCGGGTTGTTTTAAGCCCAAGGGGATTGGGGCTGCATTTTGCCTCGTGCACGCGCGTGTGCTACCGCCGCCGTCCGTGCCTACCTACCTGTTGAGCCCTCGCGACTCGAATTATTCTACGCGCCTCGAGGGTGGCTTTCGAGGGAGCCTCGAGGCCACCAAGGATTTCCCAATTGTCCAGGTCGCCCGAGTACCGACAGTTTACATCTCGTAGAGAGCTGCTTCCCTCGGAAATTCGATGCGACGTTCACCGCCACCGCTGCCGCTGCGATAAGACACGAGTAGTGGCTGCCGGGGCTGGGGAAGAAGGGAGGTCGAATATTGCTTGCCCTTTCAAAGAGAGAGATTGAGAGATTGAGAGAGTGAGAGAGAGAGAGAGAGAGAGAGAGAGAGAGAGAGAGTGAGAGTGAGAGAGCCGAGGCTACGATCGGATTTTGATTTATCGCGGGGTTGTAATAGGAGTCCCGGGACTGCGGATAGCTTTACGTCGACTCTGCAGTTTGTCGAGTGCGCGTACACTTTTAAGCGAGTGGGACAATTAGCGTGTCGTGTCATTTCATTTTGGCCGGGCGGGGTTGGGAAGCGTTGAATTATCGTTGGGCAAATAGTCTTAGCGAGAAGTTTTGGAGAAACTCGATGCTTACTTAGACCGTTGCTATTTGTTTTTCAACCATCCCGTAGCCAGAGTTGGTGTCTAATCGTGAGATTTTTTTTTTAGCGCAACCAATTGCAAAACAATCTTGATTTGCGGTATTATCACGTGCTTTTCCAAGTTGTACTCTTTGGCGTCAATGAATGCCAAAGGAATGCCATTTAATGACAATTTGCCTCGTAAAGGGCTAATTAAATAACGACTTAGTATATAATGCGTTGGGATCTTTTGACAAACGCTCGTCGAGCGAATAATTTGCAAAATAGTCGCGGCGAGGCGCCATAAATAAGTTCGGAGGCGCGCGCGACTCATCGTGGCCATAGCGTATGCCAATTGAAATGAGTAGGAGGAAGTTCGTTGATAAATGAAAATTGTGAATTAACGAGACATAATGATTTTGTCAACAGAACATTCGGCGGCCCAGGAACGGAACACCTTGGAAATCCTGCCAAGCGGGAAGATTCAAACAAAACCGGTGGGATCGAGCATTCTCATGACCTGCAAGCCTCGAGTTGCCGACACGAAACTCATTTCGAACATTCGATGGATCGACCCGCATAACAATTCTATCGAGAGCCTCAAGTATGTATCTCTTTTTGCCCTTTGTCCTTCTTTGTCCCCGTCTATCGTACTTTAATCTCTTTCTCACGATTATCAATAAACAGCGAGTCGTAGCAACAGTTTGCTTTTACATAATAATTACACAGAGTAAAAGGTACTACAATGACATTCTAAATAACAATGAAAACGAAAGTAATAAAAAAAAAAAAAAAAAAAAAAAAAAAAAAAAAAAAACATGAGGAAATAAACAAAACATGAGCAAGAAAAAATCACTACGAATTAATTAATACTTCTTTTCCAATTTTTCTCGTATCCAATCAATGGTACGGCGAATGTGTTATTCGTTGTTTCGAGAATACCCGCATTACGATCGCGCTTACCCTTCACCCCACCCCCCACCCACCACCATGCAAATCCATAACTTATCCTCATTATATCGCTGCACGCAATTTGATAATACGCAAATATATAAATACAAGATACATGAAAAATGGAAAAGGATATTAAACCATTGACAGGGGCACACAACAGAGCACTAATCAATCGTATTTCTCGTTTCTTTTTGCACACAGACTCGTCGTTTTGCCGCTCGACAGGCAAGTATTCGTACCATCAACAAACACGCAACTAATTGCTCACGCGTAAGGTTGAGAGAGTTCAACGAGAGTTACTCATATATGTCACCTTATGTTCTCTCTCTCTCTCTCTCTCTCTCTCTTTTTTTTTTTCTTCTTCAGCCCCCGTAAAACAAGCGCGCAACCGAATATTTTATCAATATTTTTGTCTATTTTACCCCCCAAAACCTTTTATTTTTTAAACGTTCGATCTGGCTTTACCATTCTTTTGCTTTCATATTGTACACAATTTACAAATTTGTGCTACTTTGCAGTCCTCCAACGCCTTCATTCATTCCGCATTATTGTATTGGGAACCTTTTTCGAACCATTAACTCTTGTTGTAGTATTATTGTACTTAAGGGGGCACATAAAAGTCATATTACCGAGCATTTTATTACCGATAACCGAAAATTATTATAATAAAAATTGGTTTTTGTATGAGAATAGAAAGGTGGGTATTTGTTTAAAATAATAGCTTTGGACAAATTACAGTTATAATGAAAAATATTCTCTCTCCATTTGTAAATGTTTTTTTTTTATTGAATATATATCGTCGTATCTGGCAATATATTTATCCGAAAGCTTTTCGTCAACAGCTTAGCAAAATAAAAATAAAACAACGAACAAAACAACAACAACAACAACACCAAAAACAACAAATAAAAAACAAATAAAGAAAAACGAATTTCCAGTTTTCATATAAATACTGTTTTTTTTATTTTATTTTATTTAATCTTTTTATTCGTTTTTCTTTTGCTTTTTTCTTTTGCTTTTTTAAAGAATCGGTAGAGATATTATGTTCGATAAAGCACACTTAATTAATTCAACAAATTAAATCGCAAATGCTATCAAAAGTACTATAAAAATTAAATATTAACTAAAATAAAATATCTTTTGCAACTACTTGTTTGAAAGAAAAAAAAAAAATAAAAATAAAAGAAAAGTAACTCGAATCTTTATTTATTTTTATCACCGCTCCATTAACTTCTTTATTATTAATGTTAACAATCGATAATTCCATCACTATTTATTACTTGATTATTTGATTTTCAATGCGTTTTTTCAAAATGTCACATGGGGCGTACATTTTCACCCTTCGTTCACACACATTTTCGTTGCAGTAACAGTTCGTGTTCATCTTGTATGTCTGTTCATCTCGGTCTTCGGCTTAGATCTTTCCATTTCAAAAGGACAATTAATTATTTCTGGTCTGGCCTGCAATTACGCATTCGCAGTTTATTTCATTAAAACGCACAACGCAATAGTACTTCCATTTCTCTTCTCATTCATCATCGCATCAACTCACGTCGCCCCATAATTTATCGTTACTTTCATTTATCCCTTTCCTTTAATTCGCCATCCTTCTCTTTTTCACTAGTGACGGACAAAAATATATTCATTGTTTCCTAAAACAAACAATTTTTTAATACATCCTCGCAACGTTTATTTTACTCTTTTTATCACCGTCGTTTACATTTTATTTATAATCTTCTTCTCATCCCAGCCTCGATAAATCCCGTTGAATTCATCGATTCATACATGACGAGTTTAATCAATAATATTTTCATCGCAATAGGTCGCCCAGCTACTCGAAGCCTTCGATGTACACGGAAATCCATCAGGACAGCAGCCTCTCGCTCTTCTTCAATTCTTTAAAGGAGGAACAAGCTGGAAAATACATATGCAGCGCACATTATGCCAATATCAATCTCCTCAGCGTGGAAGTGATTATCGATACAATAGGTGAGCTTTGAAATATTTATGATTAGATTTTAATACTTGTTATCTTGAGAGATGATTACAATGGAGCTCGTGACATTGTTTTGAAATTTTTGACATTTAAGGTAATATACTGTATTAAAATGTGCCAACCTTGGGCCAATTTTAAGGGAAAACTTTTTATTTCCGTAAACTCCGTAAGACGTAAAATTTAATTTCTAATGTATTTGATTATTGCCTCGGCTATGAAAATATCTTTAAACTTACATTTTTGTAATAGTTTATAAACATCCCAAAGTTGTAACCGATAGAAAATAATAATAATCAATGCATATGCAGCCAATGTCATTATTAATGATAATATTCGTCACTAATCAATGCGCAATTGGCAATTCGAGAAGCCAATAAGCGAACAAGTCAATTATTAGTCTAATTAAATAATTTTCACTAGTCGCCATCACGTGGGATGACGCGCCGGAGAATCAATTCCCCATCCTCGGAGAGGACTTTGCAATAAAGTGCAAAGTTCGTGCAAGGCCTTCACCCACCGTCGACTGGCTCTACAATGGCGAAGTTATCAGAACCAATGATCATTACGTAATTGAAACTCATGCGCTCAAGATCAAGAATGTCAAGGAATCCGACGACGGTGTTTACACGTGCAGAGCCTCCGTTACCGAGACCGGCGAACTTCAAGAGCGAACTATTCGTGTCGAGGTATGTCCTTACGAATATTCCCCAATGACCATTGAGCAGTAAATTTTTTCCGACTCGCCTATCGAGTATCGAATTCAAATTTCGTGCCGGCAAATTAAATATTAATCTAAATTTTTTTTTTTTTTTTTTTAACACGTCTCATTTTAATCTATCACTTATTTTTAAATAATATTAAAAATCCGCAAAATTGTCGTTTTTAATGCGTTACGGATTTTTATATTTATTATGGAATTATTGCGTAGTATGTATCGATCTATCGAATAAATAAAAGTAAAACATAAAAGTTAAAACGTATAGGGTGGTTTTGAAAACAAATTTAAACGCATAAAAAAATTACTCGATAAATTTATATGTCCAAACTGTACGTGAAAATAATATGATAAAGCTCCTAACGCCTTTTATTATTATTATTATTATTATTATTATTATTATTATTAT